CAGCGTCCTTGCACATTTGAGAGATGGGAAATACCTAATCCTGCTGAGAGATGAGGGCCCTCGCCATGGTGGATGTTGTTCTCTGCACCTATATTTACAAACAACACCGCCAACCATGTACCCTGCCCCATGGTGGTCAGAGCACTTTTCTCAAGCAAAGGAAGACATGCCTTTTTCAAATATACTGTTATTTGGAAGAATGTACTTCAATAGGCTCCTTCAGATACTTTGATGTTTACTTTAAAGAGAACTTCAAGGCAGAAGGACACTACTGAGCCTTTTTATTCCTCAAATAAGACCACTGCCACCAATAGCAGCTGCAGGGGTGGACAATGTGTCACATGTTGAAACAAAACCAGCTATGGGGCAAACAAGGAGAATTGAAAAGTGACCAGAAAACATAGGAGGAGAGGAAGAAGCTTCCAGAAAACATGAGGTTTGATGAGGAAAATGGGAATTTGCCCAGAGAAAACACTTTAAGGGGTTTCTAAGAACCGTTCACTTAAGAAATTCTGAGATTTTTTTTTTAACCTAGAATCCTACACAGCATAATTTCAAAGGATAGCCTTTGGTGGCATTTTACAGAACCCATGTCCAGGAACTGCTGCATCTCCAGATCTTTGGCAATGACAAGGAGACAACTGAAGAGGCACAGCAGGGAAAATAGTCTCTCTGGACTGGATGTGACCAAGGAATAGAGCTCGACCCTGGAGACCAGCTTCACAGTGCCTTCTATTTACTGGGTACGAGTCACCACATGGGACCGAAGAGCAGGGCTCTTTACTGGTTTTCACTTGGCCTCAGGCATGGATCAATGTGTCTAATGAATACAATTCAAACAACCTCGCCAACGTTATTTAGCTGCATTGGTCTTAACAGGCACCCATATACTTTCCCCACCCCGTTGGCTCTCAGAACTTACTGAAGTACAGACAAACAGACGCATCCATGCATACATACTCATACACCCCGTTTCCCATTTAGTTCTTTCCAGCCTTTGCTCATTTATAATTTAGCCGTTGATCAGTTTACAGAAAAGTTCTCATCGTCATTCCTTTCATGCTCCAAGCCGACCTAAGCGTCATGCCTGTCTTTTCACAGGCTGCAGTGAGGTCCCTCTCAGGGACTTGGAGGAACTGCGCACCCCTACAATAAGGTCTCTGGCTGCAGGAGTGCAGATGAGAAGTAACGCTCTGGGCAAGTGTCCGCGCTGATGCGTTAAAAGAACCATTTTATTGCTTCTGTGGTCTGAAAAAAACGAATATACACAGAGGAGGGATTTTTCCCCCCACCAATTTTGCCAAATTCAGGAAATGCTACTGCATTCGAAAGAATGGAAGAACATTTATTACTTTCTTAGCATCCTTGGGCCAGCAGCACTCCTGCATCTCAAGGTGCCAGTCTTGCTCCTTCTCCTCTTCTCCTTGAATATAATGACGGTCCTTGTCGAAATGAATATTAGACCATGGATTCCAAAAGCAGGCCTTTGGGACACTGCATGCCATGCTTGAAGAAACTATGGTAGGAGGGGGGGGGGAAGGGAAGCTGGCATGGTGCGATTTCCCTACGGCAGGCTAAGCAGGCTTCTATGTTGTACCACCCATTTTACCCTGTGCTTCATATAAAAGCATGATTTTAAATTATGTATGTACCAAACTTTAATTTTCATTTCACACTCGAAAGTTCTGTACAAAAAGAGGCAATGCAGGCAAAAAAATTACAATGACTTCGGCAAACAACATATGACAACTTCAAAGCCCCTTCTAATGTGCAGTTGTCTTTACAGGGCACTGTGGCAATGGAGTTCTGAAGGCGGGGCTGGTGGAGATAAAATCCCAATGTTAGTTATTAATATCTAGAGCATTTGCGAGATGCCTACTATGTAAGAATGAATGAGAAGTCTGGACTTGACTATACAACTGGATCCCTGGATTGGGTAGGTTTCATCTTGCTCTTGAAGAAGCACGAAATAATTTTGACTTAATTGTGATGATGTCTCGAAAAACTATGGCTTGCTATTCATGTTTGACATAACTGTGGTAACCAAGAATGTATGTTTATGTTGGTGAGAAATGCATTAACTAAATATCAAGATACACTTAAGACCTTCTTCATGGTCTTCTGCTAATATTCTGGCTATATTGCGACTCTAATATTCTGGCTCTATTTATTACCGATAAAAATACCCATTTCCACCCAGCTTTTACTATGAATGTCTAGGTAAACATGAGAGGCGCTATCATGCCAAAAGTAGCAACATGTCTGGGAAACACCATTTTGACCTTCTTTCTTGCCTCAAATTAAATATAAAAGGCTTTATTTTAAAACTATGAGCCATCAATTATGAAGTATTATTAACATTGATATTGTCCCTAGTACTTTCCCCCAAACCACCCATGAGTGCTGGATACATATGCATGCAGCACAAAAAAAAAAAAAAAAGAAAGAAAGAAAAATCAAATTGTTCAAGGATTCCCGATGCCTAATGGACAGTCTGTTAAGAGAATTGGTCTCCCACAACAGTTCTGGAGTGGACTCAAGATCCACTCCCTGTTAGTGATCACAGACACACACTCAGCCTGTCCTCTTGGTGACCTGAGGCTTCTCAAAGTTCAAGTCCCACTGAGTCTCATCTTGGAGACAATGGACTGGCTAAAGTGAAGCCGACTGACAGCACCCATTCACACATTTGGTCCCGTTGGATGGAAAGTCTAACTAAAAGTTACAAATATCCTCAACTGTGTGTGTGTGTGTGTGTGTGTGTGTGTGTATGTAATTAGATAATCTCTAATGTTTTCTTATGTAGCCAGCTGAGAGGCAGCTATGGTATAAATAACGTGGCTTAGGTTCATGGTTCAGGTCTGTGTCTAAGAGCCATAGAGAAAATGGGAAGTCCTTTCTTCTCTGTCTCTTCTTTTGAGGAAAGGGCAAATGGACACAAGCTCACTCACAGTGTGCCTCACTGCCCTTGTAGGCTCGACGGTTGCCCAACTGAGCAATACTCATGACTGCCAAATGGAACACTCTAAAGTTGAGTGTTGGAGGGACGTCTCACCCCACATGATCACATTTCCTGGCCTCCTCTGGATCTTGGAATTCCTAGGTTTGAGAAGCTCGTGGAAGCCATCTAGCGTGATTCTGCTCTGCTGAGAACACCCACATCAGTCAAGTGGCTGTATTTACTCTCCTGGTAAAGCACCAAAGGACGAGGTTCTTCCCTCTCCATTGACTACACTGATATACAGACCAGGGAAGCAGTTCTCCCCATGTGTTTGCATTTCTGTGTTGGGACAAACCAAGTATTCCCTTTCTTGGAGGGCTCAATGGAATGCTGGATGGCCACTTCCCTAGTCTGGAAATGTAGGCATTTCACAGCTCTTCTCTTGGAATGTTGGGAACCAAATCATACTATACCCCGATCATCCTAGACCTGAATTCCAGGGTTATTATTCATCAGCTGTCTGGAAAACTCTCTCCTTCCAGGAGAGACATGCAATCAATATCACAGGTTAGCCTCAAGATTTCTCTAGAAGGCTCCATACACTCCACAGTACATCTCCATAGGCCACATGGGAAAGAGGGAAGAGTAGAGAGTCAGGTAGGAAACATTTGGGGATCGTGTCCAAAGTAAGGGTCATCTTGTGTGCCCACATCTTTCCATTAGATGTCACAGTATGTTTCCCAGATTCGACCCTAACTCAGCTGTGACCTATAGCAGAATGACTGCCACACTGGCGAGATTGATAATTATAAGAATATTCCTTGGAATTTATGCATGAAGGAAGGTTGGTAGCATGGCTCCCACTAGCCTTTTAGAACTCTTAGAAACTCTTTTAGATTTTTTAAAAGTTCATTTATTTTATATGTATAATTTTTTTTCCTGCATGTATAGGAGCACACTATGTGTATGCATGGTACTTATGGAGATTGGAAGAGGGTACTGAATGCCCTGGAACTGGAATAATGGATAGCTATGAGCCACCATGTGGGTGCTGGGAATCAAATCCAGATCCTCTGCAACAGCAACAAGTACTCTTAACCACTGAGCCGTCTCTACGGGCCCCCAAGACTGTCTATTTTATACATGAGGAAGGTGAGCGCACTGAAAGTGAATCTGTCAAAGTACACAGAGTGGCGGAGGCTGACACCAGGCAATCAGGAAACATAGATATCTTCTTTCTAAATCCCTCCTTCTCTGGGAAATAACAAAGTGCCTTAGTTCTCAGTTCTGACATGAACAGTCCATTTTCACAGAGAAGTGGGGTCTCCTTATCACGAGGGGTGGTGTACGTAGAACTCAGCGGGCTCCTGGGGAATGAGTGGCCTTATTTACAAGCAGAGTTCCATCTCTCTGTCCCCGCAGGGAGAAGGTTGACAGAGATATGATTATCCTTACGCCAGCTCCCTCTCTCAAATGCTCTTCAGATAGTTACTTCCCTCAGTCCTCCTGTAAGAACCCCTCTCTCGACCCATTGCCTCCTCATTAGTGGATTAAAACACAGGCAATTTTCCTCTGACAACAACTAAAAAGGAATGGAAGGAACGTGGATTGAGACAGGAGAATGTTTGGGTTAATAACACACGTGCATACAGAAAAGCTGCACGTGAGGTTTGCAGGCTGAAGGAAGAGGGGGGCGTGCTGAACTCACAACAGTTGTGCCCCACCCTCCACATGCATTTTTCTTATCTTGCATTCTTCTCTCTTGCTCTCTTTCTCTGTCAGGGCAACAGTTGTGTGTGCTTCTTGTATCTGAGCCAACACAGGAAATCAAGTACTTTGTGTTTCTATAAACTATACTCCCAGAGAGATAACACAACTAGAATTAAAACAATACCACAAACTATTAAGAATTTCTGCTTGTTATAGGTGTCACTGCAAGACTCCAGCAGCCAAGACTGAAGTTTCCAAATTCGGCCCTTGGAGACAGGATTTTCATTTCGAACATCAAAGGTAAGGCTCTCGAGTCAATTTATGCTCTGCTGGGTTGAGTCAGTCAGGATACAAATTAAGGTCCATATATTTCAGAGACAAGAAGGAAGTGGTTATGTAAATACACAAGTATTAACATCAATCTGTATTAAATTATGTAAACATATACATCTTCTGAGGTCAGCACACAGATCCTCCTCTGTAAGCAGGGCTCTACTGAAGCATCGCCCGAATCTGTTTGGAAGTCGATTCGTCATTCAAGTGCTTTGTAGTGAACCTGGGGAGAGAGAGTTGGATGTCAGGACTCACCCAACAGAAATTTGCAAGTAAGAACCGTGGGTCACTTCTTTAGACAAAAAGCCACATTTTGATGTTCGTTCCATATATTCTCTGCAAGTTTTTTTTAAAAAATAATTTATTTAGCTTTTCTTTTATGTGCATCAGCATCAGATCCTCTGGAACTGGAGTTACAGATAGTTGTGAACTGCCATGTGAATGCTGGGAATTGAACTCAAGTCCATCTGGAAGAGCAGCCAGTGCTCTTAACCGCTGAGCCATCTCTCCAGCCCTAGAAGTTTATTTTTGATTTGACATTGACTGGGTTTTGCTCAGTATTCCAGGTAGACATTGCACTCACTCTGTAATCCAGGTTGGCCTCAAACTCATGGCAATCCTCCTTTCTCAACCTCCCTACTGCTGAGATTATATACTCATCCCACAACGCCACTCTTGTCAGGCAGGTAGCTGTGATATTTGCTTTTTCTTGTGTGGCAAGTATCAAACTAAGTCTTTTGTTGTGGGAATCCATTCAGCCAATGCCTTTTGTGTACCAGCACACGTGGTCTGATAAGCTTCCTTTATTACATCCACAGTCTTTTTTTAACCTCATCAAATAATCACAAAGAGTAGACACAACTGATCTCATCTTCAAGGAGACAAATCTCACTGCACTTACTTCAACATCTTGTCCATTGAAGCTAACCCTAAGTCTGGCTGCCTTGAAAGCCTATAATCTTCCCACTTCAGCGTGTGTCTCCGGGAAACACAAATTCCCACACTGGGGTGGGACTCGTGGCTTCATACCATGTCCTGATCTCCAACATGTTTTGGTTAGCTATAATGAAACTGCCAAATTCCAGAGACTCAGAAGTTAAAGTCTTCTTAATGAATACAGAAAACCAGCATGGTTTGCTTACAGTCTTGCTTGGAGTAAACCTCGGATTTGGGAGGCTCTTATGAGAATGATGTTAGGAAAAATCTTAAGGAGAGCCTCTCTGCTGACTCAAAATAACTTCAATTAGACCAAATCAAAAATGCCCACGTTTAATAAATGCTGGGTGGCCCTGGCAGCATGGCGGGGAAGAGGAGGGGAGAGGAGCCCGCACAAACCCTGGAGACAACACGTGTTCCTTTTTCTCATTGCAGGAGCGTAAATAGCCTGTGGGAGTGGTCCTGACCCTCCCTGGGGAGGGGTCAGCATTTGGTGGACTTTCTGGGAGCTGGAGTCCAGCCCAAGGCAACTCCCGGGGGTAGGGGCTGGGGTGAGGCTTTGAACCAAATATCCCAGGGAAGGGGGCTTGAGATGGAGCGTTTTGCCCCATTGGCACTTTATTGGTGCCCCAAGGCAGGGGCTGGGGTGACACTTCCAACTCAATGTTACATTCCAGACTCTTTGGATATAGGGGTGTTAGAAGGCTGGGGTCTCACTTTCAATCAAACATCCCGGAGTCCTTGGATATAGGGGTGTCACTTTTGAGCAAACATCCTCTAAAGATGATGAGTTGGCAAGCCAGGAAACCAGTAACTTTAGTGTCCTAAGATTGCTGGCTTTATCCAGTGAAGGAGGATAAAAGATCAGGTTGGGGTCGATGGATTGCAATAGTTGCATTGAACATATGACTGGATGTAGAGCATTGCATGCAGAACTAAGTGCTGCCCCATTTCTCTCAGACTTACCCATGCTGACTGCATGGATTGCATTGCACGGGACTGAGGAAATGAAAGGCTAAGACAGCAAGGTCCATGAGTCTTCCAGATTAAAATTCTGCATGGGGATGGTTTGTGCCGTTCAGCAAGTTTCTTTGGATGCAGCACAGCTAAAAATAAGAACCTCTTTCTTGAAGTGGACTAAACAAATGCATCCTTGGGGAAAGAGAGGTGCCTAAGGAGTGGAAAGATAGCTGGCTAAATATTCAGGCACCCAGCAGTGAATAACAGATCCTCAGTTCTGGCAGCTGCAGGTAGAAGCCACTTGGGGAGGTCAAGCCAAGCAAACAGAAACAAACAACAAGCTAAGACAAGAGGAATGCTTGAGTTTCAAGGCCAACGACTAATTTACTTGGCTTGCAACCTCAGTTCCTGGAAACTCCCTTCATCTTCTTCTGATGCAACCAGGGTCAGGAGCCCTTGGTTAAGATGGACATAAGAAGCGACAAGGATTCCCCACTATACATACAGCATCATGGTCAAGAGTCAGATAGGTGTGAGACTCGTGGGACCACCAAGACCCAGGTATAGGTCCTAACTTGGCCCTTTACTGTGTGGAATGGAAACATTATTTGAGCATACCAAGCCAGGTACAGGTATGCTGCATGCCTTTAATCCTGGCATTCAGTAGGCAGAGACAGGTGGATCGCTGAGTTCAAGGCCAGCCAGGACTACAAAGTACGTTCCAGCACAGCTAGGACGGTACAGATAAACCTTGTTTCAAAACCCCAAAACTTAACTTACCTCAAATTCCCCCATCTTAAGAAGTGAATGATAAAACCTGTGCTGCCCTCCCAGCACTGTTAGGAAGGTGAACCACATGACAACCAGTCAAGGGCTAAGACTGGTGTCCAGGCTTCTGGCCCCCAACAGCATTTACATTTGCATCGGTCTGAAAGGGAAGCTGTACTGCCTGCCCCAGAGACTGGCTCACCTGAGAGCATTCAGCAGCCCTTCCACACTGTCCGGGGCCTGCTCCTTCAGCACTTTTATGCAGCCTTTCATCTGGAAGAAGAATGCACAGCATTCCGTTAGTACGCTAGTAAGCCTGCACAGAGTGATATCTGTCCATACTAACAACTCTATGGAGCCACAGAACATGGAAATCACAAGTAAGCTTCTCTATCCTCTCAGGATGGTGCATTGTGCCTCTGGGCTTCTCCAGAGTTCCGTACAACGAAATGATTGCAATCTCTACTGGTTTTCGTTCTAGTCCACAACTGTCCGTTTGACTTTGGGAATAAACGTCTTGCTTTGTACTCTGGAGCCCAGAGCAGGAACAGAAATCACTCTCCTTGGCTCTTGGTTGAGATTCATTAAGTGTTTTACACACTCAATAATTGAATGTTTTGTCTGCTAAGAATGCTTCTTCTCTGTCAGCTGCTGATTGATACACCCATAATATTTTGCAAGTTCACTGGCTTGCAGGAAATGTGTGTGTGTGTGTGTGAACACATGTTGGTATATGTGTGTTGCATGCATATGGAGGCCAGAGGACAAGTTCAGCTGTCATTCCTAAGGTACTATCCACCTAATGTTTAGACAGGGTCTCTTTTGCCTGGAGCTTGTTAAGTAGGCTAGGCTAACTGACAAGAATGCCCCAGAGATCTGCCCATCTCCACTCCCCCATGACTGGGAATGTAAGCACATCAACCATATATGGCTTTCTTTAAAAAAAAAAAAAGACTCCTGGACATGAATTTATTCTTAGTGCTTTCAAAGTAAACACTATGCAGACAGAGATATCGCTGTGGCCCAGAAAGGCTGTTTTCATTCCATTATCTGTACCATAGATAGTCACTACCACTTCTTTGTGACCCCAATATGACTTTGTATTTATTAGGTAACTCTGGATAGACTAGCCCCTCATCAAGTCAATAATTTGTCTCCCTCATTAGACCAGTAACTCCTAGAAGAACAGGTCTGGGTCTTAGCCACCTCTGAGAAGACTGGCAAAGGGCAATTGCAAAGAATGGGAACCTTGTAGAGGTCAGATTTCTAGTTTTTACCCATGCTGCTTTGTAGTCGTGTGGACTTACACAAGTTCCTCGGTTTTCTGAGGCCTTGGAATTAAAGTAATCTAATTCTGTTATGAAAATTAAAATTAAAATTTACATCATGTTATTTTATGCATACCGTTTTACTTATCCTTTGGAAAAAGCAAAGATCTTTCTATAAAAAGTCAATCACTTCTTTCAATCTTAGACATTCATGCAGTGTGTGGGTATCTGAGGAGTTTGATTATACCAGCGGCTACCTGCAGAGTGGCAACTTCTCAACAATGCTTGTGGTCATATTTCAAATATGCAAAAGTTTTATAATAATAGCTTTATAGACTCTGCCAATTGCTGTAGGTAGACTGAGAAGCATTTGGAGATCACACAAGAATGAAGTCACGGTCAAATACACGTCTATAAAAGATACAGGTTTGGGCCGGGCGGTGCTGGTCTTTAATCCCAGCACTCGGGAGGCAGAAGCAGGCGGATCTCTGTGAGTTTGAGGCCAGCCTGGTCTACAAGAGCTAGTTCCAGGACAGGAACCAAAAGCTACAAAGAAACCCTGTCTTGAAAATCCAAAAAAAAAAAAAAAAAAAAAGAAAGAAAGAAAAAAGAAAAAAAGATACAGGTTTGGAGAGGGGCTCCATTGATGCCAGTTATGTGCCACTCTGGGTTTGTGATGGTATCAGGCCCTTAAACGTGGAGAATCTTGTCTCTCTCCCATCAGAGGTGGGAGTCCAGTGAGAAGAGAGAGACAGGTCGCTCAGTATCATGGTGCGGTAAGTGTTCATGTGAGAACATCACACGGGGCAGTGAGAGCACAGATGCTGACCGAGGTGGGTGTGCAGTGGGTACTCTCGAGGAGTCTCCAGTTCTCTTTCAGCACGATGAAAACCGTGGGTGTGAATAACAAGAAACTGTCAGAAATGCATTCAGGGCCAGAGCTAGGGTGGATTTAACAACCCAGTCAGAACTTGGAGGCTTTTCCTCGAAGAAAATAACCCTTGGATGGCGTTAAGCATTGTATAAATATAGTGAGCGTAGAAAAGAAGCAGAAGGAGGCAAAGACAGAAAGAGGAGGATGTGAAAATCCCCTGGGATATGAGGGGTGGGGCAGCAGTGAGCTGAAACCCAGAGGGGGGATGGATGCTCAATCACTGGCAACTTAAGAGGGTAAGGAAGAGGGGCTCACAGACAATGCTTAGTATCTGAAGGATGACAGCTCTGATTTCTTCTAGCTTAGATACTGGATGAGAGGATAGGTCAATATCCAAACTAGAATCCATAGGGGAAGGAAACCCTTTGGTTGGTGACTGGCCATGCTTCGTGTATCCATAACAAATGTTGTCTGAAGTTATGGCTGGGGACAGATGTTAAGGTGTGATTCTTTATGGGGCCAGCTCCTAAGAGGATGTGGAAATCACTTGAGAACACCAGTTCATCCCCTCACATCTTTCCTGCCACCAAGACTGTCCTCTGGCCTCTAAACAACTCCCGTTCCCTGAGTCTTGGTGATTTTGCTCTGGCCCTTCCTTGCCTCTATCCATCTGAAAAATATCCTTGACTGACTACCTCAAATCCCACCTCCTTTGCCTCTAAACAGAACAGTCTCTCCCTCAACTGTTCCCTAGCGCTCCTTACAGGTCTCCTCTGCAAACCAGACCCCCCACCCTTTGTGTGTATACCTGGTACCTCCTCCAGGGTCTCACAAATAAACACGTTTCCTCACAGTTGGTCCTCACATCCTAAGGACTTATCAACCCAGTGCCTAGAGCTGCTGGTTTAGCTGCAGAGTGGTGGAATGGACCCTCTTCAGAGAGGTCTAGTGCTCATCAGGCCGAAATCGTTCTTAGAGGCACATGCACAGTTCGCCACGAACTGGCCTGTCTTAATCTCCATTAACAAACAGACTTGAAAAATGCCCGAGAAAATCAACATATTCCCTGTTTGGGAACTTAACAGATTCCGAAAATGGCTTAGAAAGCCAAGCATTTTATAAAATAGGGTGGCAAGGGCTAGGTAGATGCCTCAGTGCATAAAGAAAACTTGTACAAACATGAAGACTTGAATTCAAATCCCCAACATCCATGTACAAATGTCATTTCTGGTTACATGTGCCCATAATCCCAGAACATTTGGGTGGAGATAGATGGATCCGGGAACTGACAGGCTGGCCAGCCTAGCTAAATCTAGCTGTACGTTCAGCGAGAGGCCCTGTCTCCAAGGAATAATGTGCCAGGTAATAGCCCAGGAATCCCGATATCCTTTTCTGGCCTCTGTAGGTGTGTGCATGGGTATACCAACCCACAAACACATGTAAACACACACATGCAAAAAACCACAAAGAAAAGATGAAGGGTACAAAGGGCTCATTTCACCCACCATAATTTTAGTTGTTGACTCTGTGGTAAGTTAACAAATGGCTACAGTCAACCAAAATGCCATAGGAATACCAGGCACTAAACTCAATTCATAGCAATAGAGTTTTTCACAGTTATTTGTATTCAGTCTATAGTGCCAAATCTTTAAGCCCCCACAATGAGCACAATACATATGTTTATTGCAAGATTTTCATAATATATTCTTATGTAAATGAAACATATTTTAAAATAGTGCAAACAGCAGAATTCTAATTTGTTAGGCTCAGCCATCCATTAAAACACAAGGAGGCATTTTCATTTCACTCTGCTTCTTAAATCTGAATGCATTGTACCAGGCTGTCTCATGTTCTGTTGCCATGACTTCCCACCATGATGGGCTATGCCCTGAGACTGTCAACCAAAGTAAACTCTGCCTTAAATTGTTTCTTTCAGGGTTTTGAATCACGGACATAGAAAAAGTAATTAGTACAGAGTTACCTGTAAAACTGGCAAAAGGGAGCGTGGTTTATTCTGCAAACCGCAGGGAAGCAACTGGAGAGCATGTGCTTCCAAAGGTCTCTGCGTATGCACCCATGTTTTCCTTTTTTCTTACACTCACTCAGACACTGAATAGACACTTTGTGCAGGGCATCTAGTGGGTGTCGGGCATAATATCCCAGGACATTAGGTGCCTTGATCATTGTCCCTATACATTCGAAAAGCTAGAGTCTGTGGGAATGTTAGCAAAAGCAGTTTGGTAAACCATCTGAGGACCAATGGAGAAGGAAGGCTTCACTTATGTGGGGCAAAGGAAATGGGACCCTGGATGAGCTACATCTAAAGAGTGCCTGGACGAGATCCACCATCAGAGGAGGAGGTGATGGAGAGACTCTTGGATTCTACAATAAGAACAGACAGGATGGTTGGTGGGGCAGCAGGCAAGGTTGATAAGAGAAGAGCTTGGAAGGTCATCTGGTCTTTGACCATTGTGCCTTGCCATCCAGAAGTTCCCAACTCTATTCATATCATAACACACAGATGGTACAGAGGGTGGAGTGAAGGTGGGGGCGGAGCATCTCTGTTCTGCTTCATTAAGGCCTAGGGTATGAGCATCCCAGCACTCCAGCTACATGTGGGAGGCAGGACGTCTCCTCCTAACCATGTCAGAAAGAGTGGACTACTTGTTAGGGAGAAATTTGCCATGCATCTCCAAGATAAAAATCTTGGAAAGGTCTTGCTCAGTGAGGCCACAGGAAGAGAAGTAAGATTCTCCAAATGGCATTCACGGGCTTTTGTGATAAAAACACATTACATGAGAATTCTTACATCAATTTTGGATGTCTTGCAGAAAGCTCCCACGGGGTGCACGTGATCATAGAGGATGATGACCCCCACCATCACCCTCATGCAGAACATGAGTGTCTCCTCTCTTGTAAACCTGCTCCTGTACTCCCTGAAAGAGAAGACATGGATGTGGCATTACTCCCTGGTTCAAACACGTGCATTCTGAGACCCACAACTGGCCATTCCTCTACCCGCCCACCCCCAACAGAACTCACCCAGGACCTGCAGCGACCAGGTTAATATGCTCTTTAAAAGACCCAAGACGACAATTTTCCTTGACTCTATCCAACTAGCAATTCAGAGCAAACTCTGGTAAATTAGAGGGCGGTAAATTCCCCTTTCTGCTTCCCTTTAGCAGCTAGCTCACCATGTACATCAACCCCTGCCCATCAATCTTGAATATTTTATAGCCGGCCCCTCTGGCTGTCCAAGATTATAGAGAATAATGGCTTCATTACAGGGAAAAGGAATCAGGCTCATTTCTACACAGCAGCGCTCATGTCTCCAGCTGGAGTCAGTTCCTTTGTTAAGACATGGGCTGTGGAAGAGTGTGGATTGGCAGATATCTCAAAGAAATTATGTATCTAGGAGTTATTTGTGGAGGTTAAATTCTGCTCACTTACTTTGACAGGGGCCCTGATGATTGCAATAATTTAGGCCAAAGCTAGAGACTTTTTTAGCATCAATTTCATTATGAGTTGGCCCCACAATGCAGACAATTACTATTTCTGTCTTGAAATAAATCTTAACTTTGGTATGAAGGAAAGATTTAAAATTAATATCCTTTTATGGGGCAGGAGAGATGGCTCCCTGGGTAAAGCACTTGCTGCTTAAGGGAGAGGAACTGAGTTGGCTCCCCAGTGCCCATATGTATGCCAGGTGGTTGTGGGGCTAGTCTCAGGTCAACTTGACAGAAGTTAGAATCGCTGGAGAAGATAAAACCTCAATTGAAAAGATGCCTTCATAAGATCTGGCTACAGGCAAGCCCGAAGGGCGTTTTCATTAGCAATTGATGGTGGAGGGACCCAGCCCATTGTGGGTGATGCCATCCTGGGTTTTATAAGAAAGCAGACTGAACAAGCCATGAGGAGCAAGCCAGTAAGCAGCACCCCTCCATGGCCTTTGCATCAGCTCCTGCCTCTAGGATCTTGCCCTCGTTAAGTCCTTGTCCTGATTTCCTTCAGTGAAGGACTACAGTGTGGAAGTATAAGCCCAGTAAACCCTTTCCTCTCCAACTTAGTTTTGGTCATGGTGTTTCTACACCAATAGTAACCCTAACACAGTTTCCCACCTGCAATCCCGGCTCTTGGGAGGCAGAGACAGGGCATGCCTGCAGCAAGCTGACTACCCAACTTAGTCCTATCAGCAAAATTTGGGTTCACATGACAGAACCCTGCCTCAATATACATGTCAGAGAGCAGTTAAGGAAGACACCCAAAGTCAATCTCTGGCTTACACACACACACACACACACACACACACACACACACACACACACACACACATACATACACAGAGGCACACATGTGTGCATGCACACACACACGTATATGCATCAGCAAGCACATGTGCATCCTCACATGCACGTGAATACAAACACACACAAACACCACGCACATACACACATGCAAACATATAAAATAATAAAAGATTGTTTTATATTTGAAGACAGTCAGCTGCTATAATAAGGTGCCTGTGATACTTCTGGGCTCCGGTACCCTATGGAGCAGATGGTATTACGGGAACTTGATTAGACACAGAATACAAGGAAGGTTCAGAGGGGCCAGAGTTCATTTGTAATCACAGTGAGCAGTGCAGACTAAGTGCATCCCCAACCTTCCCCTGTAACTGCGTCCTTCATCCTTTATGACCCTAACCATCCTTCACGTTGAGTGTCTGGCAAGCAGTTTAGGAACAAAGAAACAGAGGGTGAAGAGAGGGGTGGGGGAATTACTTTTGCAGCGGTCTCACCATTGCTACTCTTGGTTCTACATCTCTATAGTGTATCGATAATAACACTCACACATCTAGCCCATCTCCCCATTTCACTGCATGGCTTATAGAAGTGATTCTCAACCTGTGGGTTGCCATTCCTCTAGGGGTCCTACAACCCCTTCACAGATAGCTTGCATATCAGATATTTACATCACAATTCATAACTATAGCAAAATTACAGTTATGGAGTAGCAATGAGAATCCTTTTCTGGTTGGGGGTGTCACCACAACAAGAGGAAATGTATCAAAAAGGGTCACCCACACTAGAAAGTTGAGAACCACTTTTTATTTTATTTTATTTTTTTATTTTTCGAGACAGGATTTCTCCGTAGCTTTTTCGTTCCTGTCCTGAAACTAGCTCTTGTAGACCAGGCTGGCCTCGAACTCACAGAGATCCGCCTGCCTCTGCCTCCGGAGTGCTGGGATTAAAGGCATGTGCCACCACTGCCCGGCTGAGAACCACTTTCTTAGAGCACGTGACAAGCTGCTAAACCTTTGCGAGGCCAATCAACCCATGGGCGAGTCAGCTACTTCAGTTGGGAAACGGATCTGATGGATCTGACGTTGACACAGATCACCCTAAGCTCCCATTGAAACCGAAGTAAACACTCCACAAGGGAAACTTTAATCTGGCACCTGAAAGAGGACATGCCGCTATCAACACATCTGACCAGGCCCCAGCCTGGTGGAAACGTAGCCATGCCCACACCTCTGGTTTCACTTACGGTGTCTCCAGCATAACCTTGCAGACGCTTGTCATGGTACTGAGGCAGTCGGTGGTGTTCTCTATTGGCAGGGTTTTATTCTGAGTGGAGAGACACAAACACACGTTGGTCATCCTAACAGTGTGCATGCATGGTAAAGAAAGATCACTCTGTGCGGCTCCCTGGCTGCACTTACTTCTGAGACAAAGTGCATTGTGGCGTTGCTGAGAGTCTTCAGCATCGGTGTGGCTTCAGCATAGAAGAGGGACATTCGGTTGGCCATCTCATTATTCACTTCATTCTCAATGTCTAGCTGATGGAAGCAAGAGCAGCAACAGTTATAAAGAGAGCATTCTTATCTCCACAACCAAGTTATAGGCAAGGACTCGGCCATCTCTTTGGGCCTGGCCAGACACACAAGTCAAAGCAGCCATGGGGAGATGGTGGCCCCAGCCAGAGACACGGCGCAGGGACTCACATGCATGTTGTTGATGCGGTTGCGACTTATTGTTCTCCTGTAGTAACTAAAGTCATTCTGAATCGCTGGGTTCCTCATCTGAAATGTGGAAGAGAAGAAAGAAGGTCACCTTCCAGAAACAGGGGAGGGGCAGCATCAGGAGCCCAGATGTGAGGGTTTGCAGATATGGCACAACTTCTCTTTGTCATTCAAGGACCGGGGCAACCATTAAAAATAAGGACCTATCACTCTGTGTTCTGAAACATGTCCTGTTCTTCCTGTGGGCTGTATTTCTGGGAAAGCATGTTTGCCCAGTGAGAAGATACTTGTATGGGTTCTCTGCGCTCATTTGACAGATTCCAAATTTCCACAGGTAAGTCACCCTCGTAGATTACGCTGGCCACACAGAATGCAAATATGTACCACGTTATAAACCTCCTGGGGGAGGTAGTCCATCTTACTCTCCCACTCCAACCCTACAGCCTTAGCAAAAGAACCATAAAGCAGAGCTACCCCGTTCAACTCCCACAGTGCGTGTGGCCTGACCTTCAGCTCATCAAATCGAAGGGTAAAATGTAAGATTTCTGCAAATTCCTTTGCCAGTGCCTGCTCCCGCTCCAGGTGCTGGGTTGGTGTGTAAGGAGGGCACGTCAGAGATTCCAGTAAACTCTGCAGGGCTTTTTCTGAAAGTCAAGGGGAGACAGAGGTCTATTCAGAGAGGCCAGACACATCCTTAAAAGCACAGTGCACAGTTCAAGTTGACACTCTCAGAGGCAACCTGTGTGGACGGTCCCTTTTGAGGGTTTCCAGAGCCCAGTTCACTTAGCAATCTCCTTTCTGAGCCTTGTAGAAAACCACAAGGAGCTCGTGTGCATGAGAGGCACTAACGATTTAAGGTGAGGTGAGAGCTGAGGAGAGGGCTCCAATCAGTAAGATGCTGTGCAAACCCAATTCATACCTATCACATCCACAAAAATCCCCCAGGTGTAGGGGTACAGGTACGTAACACTAGCTTTGAAAATGGGCATGGGGACAGAGGCAGAAGAGTCAAAGCTCCCTGGGGCTGGGTAGCTTAGCCAGTCCATGAGCAACAGAAGACACCAGAGTCAGTCTCTGTCTCCACACACATATCCAAGAGCCCTGAACACATGGGTTAAGTCACCTGTTTAACACGGTGGAAAGTTTGGTCTTCTTCTAGCATGTTTCTCTCTTTCTACATCCCCATGACATTTCTCTACAAATCTACCACATTTACCCTTGTTATGTTCTTACAATAACCTTATCCCTCCCTCCCATTTGCCTATTTCTGATCATTCTCCATTCTTTTTGTTCCCATACATCTTGACAGCAAAGTCATTTAACCAATCCTCAATGGCAGAAGTTGATAAACTATGACCCATAAGCCAAATTGGACCCACTGCTTTTTTATGAGTAAAGTTTTATTTAAAAGGTAGATATTTTCATCACTTCCTACACTGACTAGGGCTACCATAGGTGTTGCTACTATGATGGTAAAATCTCGTTACTGAAAAGACAGGACACACAAGATGCAAACCCTTTCTGTTGAGATACAACTCAGGTTCTTGGTATTTCAGCTCACTACATCCAAATGCCCACTGAGGAAACAGAAGATTCGATTTATCTTCTACCTGAGAACCTGGGGCAACCTTCTTTGTGAAATCAGTTTGAACCCCTCCCTTAGCTGGTCGAGCATCAAGTCCTTTTCAATATCAAGTCATGGGTTCAGCTTTGGTTTTCTTCTTAGAATATGGCCTTCATTTTAGTGGCAAATTAAAGCAAAAGTTGCTGACTACCATTTCCATTCTAAATATACTATATTATCAGATGAAACCCCAAGCACTGACAGTGATTACACCACACTGCTGGTGGCATGCAGCCAGTTTGTCAACCTCGCTTGCCTCCACGCCAGCTTCTGCAGAGTCATCTTATTTCTGTGCAGTTTATTTTTGTTGTAAAGCTAAAGTAAGAATGCTAGCTTTATTTTCTTACATTTTGCATTCAGTTAATTGTGTTTTGGGGCATGCGAAGAGACTGTGGATTCAAATGAACTCCATCCTCCAATTTTGTTTTTTATTAAAAACGGAGACCAATAGACCAAAGTCTAGGTCAATTGTCATCAGAGGCTTCATCCAGCAATTGATGGGAGCAGATGCAGAGACCCTCAGTCAAGCATTAGGCCCCATGGAAGAAGGGGTGGAAAGATTGTGGGAGACAGAGGGGCTGAGAACACCATAAGAACACAGCTCAAAAAAATCAATTAAGCAGGGCTCATTGGAGCTCATAGAGACTGAAGCAACAATCACAGAACTTGTATGGGTCACCTAGGTCTTCTGCATAGATGTGGTTATATAGCTTGGTGTTCTTGTGAGACTCCTGACAGTGGGATTGGGGGTGTCTCTAGCCTTCTTTTGGGATTCCTTTCCTCCCATTGGGTTGCCTTGTCCAGCCTTAATAAGAGGATTTTTGCCTAGTCTTATTGTAACTTGTCATGCAGTGTTCAGTTGATATCCTTGGGAGGCCTGCTCTTTTCTGAAGGGAGACAGAGGAGTGGATCTGAGGAGGGAGAAAGGAAGGGAGGTGTTGTCAGAGGCTGTTAGTTCATTTCCTGACTGCCCTGATTTGAAATAACCATACAGAAACTATATTATTTGCAATACTGTTTGGCCAATAGCTTAAGCATATTTTTAGCTAGCTTTTATATCCTAAACTAACCCATCTCTATTAATCTGTGTATTGCCACATGGCTGTGGCTTACTGAGTAAAGTTCTGGTGGGACCAACAAATTGGCACCAATGTGGTCAACTAAATCCACTTAAAAACCTGAGAGAGTTTGAAAATAAATTCTAGACACACACACACACACACACACACACACACAAAATAGTTTAATGCAACTTCTTGCTCTATTTGCTGGTGGAAAGCAGAGACATAGTTCCATTAAGGTTTCCTGACTCAGCTTTAGCAGTAAACACTACACAGCTTCTTTTAAAATGGCAGCTTCCTGGTTCTCTGGCAGGAATGACTCTGGCTCTTTCAGAAGGCCTAGCACTTGAATGGGGTTTGTGAGCACCATGTTGCAATTGCTTGGTGGCAGCATGGACCAATTGGTTACCAGAGCTGAGGTGGTGAGCATGGCTCCCACCTGGCAGTCTCAGAGGCAGTAAATGGATCTTGGCCATGTTGGACTGGGTAGAGCCAAAACATAAAGCAGCCTTAGTTCTAGACACTCTGTTGAGCATTTTAAAAAGCAGTTCTGGTCAGAAAAGTATTACAGATATGCAATAAAGAACAGATTCAGATGAAAAAGACCTCTAAATGGATCACAGCTTGGGAGAGAGAAGAAAAAAAGTATAGAGAGTTATAGAAGGAAGTAAATGGTTTTAAAAAAATGAAACAAAGTCTTTAAAGAGACAGAGTACAGACAGTAATAGATTTATAGAGGAAAGAAAAATAAGCTATGTAAAGATGAAATATACATAGAAAGTCTGGATTATGTATATTATTGTGTTTTCTTTTAATTTTTTGACTATGAAGGAGATAAGTACAGAGAGGCATTTCATTGTATAGGCTGCTAAGCTAAACCAACATATAAATTTTAAAGGTATCTAGACTTCAAAATTTGGGTCTAAGGATTTGTTGCTTTTGAAAAAGAGTTTCTACTTTCGTTTCCATAGAGGATGAGAACCTGTGGGGTCTTCCCAGACTAATGTGGTTTCATTGATTAAGAACCCCCGAAATTACTTCTCCCAAGAAAAAGCAGTAAACTATACCCAAAGTCCCTTAATAATTGTTTATAAATGTTTGTTTACATTTAAAGGGAGATATGATATAAAGATGGAAACTTTGCATTGATATGGATATTGGTTTATTGATACAAATTTAAGGTCAATTTTGTTATATGTATATTTCTGCTCTTGATTAAGGTATTGGTTTATGTAGCTCATTTAAAAATGTAATATATAATTAAGAAACATAGGTTAAGAGATAGTCATCTATAATAGTCAAGCTTAAAATCATCTTAGTTGGGTTTTCTAGATGTACAAAGTTATATTTCAAATGGATATATTCTTCAAAACTCTCAAAGACTAACAACAGAATATGGCATTTAAAGTTTTAAGAACTTAGACTTTTCATGACAATGAGACACATCTGCTCTTGACAGCACCAATTATTTCAAGAGGAAGATGGGCATCGAAGAAGCTCCTCATGGAGCTTGTTAGCCATTTGGGCAAGAAACTGTTCTTGCCTGAACTGTTTGACTAGACTTGCAAGACCCACAGAAAAATGACTGCTGAAGCTGCCTAAAGAAGGTGAGATAGTCCTTCAGGGTTCCTGCAGAGTCTGCCAGACATTCTGCAGGACACAGAAGAAAGTTACTGACAAACTGCCAATACAGGTAGAACTGTCTTTGAAATTTCCTACTTCATGAAAAAGTCTGCCAGACACTATGGGCCAAGTTACGATAGAAGATAGAGTAGATATAAATATTGTAACTATAACTCTTGTTTGATAATTGTTTTGTTATATTTAATCTTGCAAAGTTAAAGTTAAAACTTTCCTTTTCACTTAGACAGAAAAGGGGAGTTGATGCAGGAGGTGATGTATGCCATGAATATGTATTATTGCCATTGGTTAATAAAGAAGCTCCTTTTGGCCAATGGCTTAACAGAGTAAAGCCAGGCTGAAAGAAATATATTAAGAAAGTAGGCCGAGTTAGAGAGATGCCATGTAGCCACCTGCAGAAGACAGATGCACCAGAACCTTGCTGGTAAGCCACACCATGTGGTAATACACAGATGAATAGAAATGGGTTAATTTAAGATATAAGAGCTAGCTAGAAAATACAGTTAAGCTATTGGCCAAACAGTATTGCAAATAATATAATTTCTGTGTGATTAGTTTCAGTCTGGGCAGCTGGGAAATGAATGAGCAGCCTCCCCCAACAAGGAGGGAGGGAGGGGAAACTGTGGTTGTGATCAATGTATGAGAAAGAGGAGTAAATACTAGAGTTGGGATGTAATGTATGAGAGAAGGATGGAGAGAGAGAGAAAAAACCAAGCCCAAGATCAGGGTTGGAGGGATAGCTCAGCAATTAAGAGCATTTGCTTTTCTTAAAGAGGACCAGGGTTTGGTCCTAGCACCCTCATGGTAGTTCACAACCATCTGCAGCTCCAGTTCCAAAGGCTCTGACACCCTCTTCTGGTCTCCAAAAGTTCTTCTAAATTCACATGGGCACACATGCACATACATAACAATAAAAAAGAAATCTCAAAGAGATCAGTAGGCTTTGAAGAGCTGGACCAGATAAATACGATGACAAAGTGTCAAGGGATCATGAGCCAATAGAGACTCTCCGTGTACCAATCAATGACTTTAAGAGAAGGATGCATGTGGCAGATCACAAGAAACAAGAGTGATGGAAGTTGCTTACGAATGGCCTCATAGTGTGCAAGTGGGGGACCTTTTCTAACATGTAGAGTTGCTCCCTCAACCCTCTCAAAAGGCAAAATAATAATAATAATAGTAATAATAATAATGATGATGATAAAATAAGTGCCATGTGGGACATGATAGCTGTAACACTCACCAAGGCGGATGGAAAATTCATAAAACCGTTTCAGCCTCACGACCAGGGGGCAAACTGCATTCCAAGCCTTTTCTTGAAGTTGAATATCATTGGGATTTTGAATTGCCTACGGGAGAAAAATGGGGTGATGGTGAGTTTCAAGTTTAAGAAAAGTAGTACGCTTACACCAAAGTACCGTGAATGATTGTAGATTATTTTTAGAAAATGCAATCCTTAGTGTGCTTTGAGAATTGGAACCACCTTGGTGGACAATGAGTATTTGGATGATTCCCCAAAGAACTCTTTTCTGAAGGCAGTTTCAATCCTTAAGCATGAAGCTTGTGGGTCTCAGGTAGATTTTGTCTCATCTGACTTGCTGCTGTGTTCTTTGATTTAAAAAAAAAAAAAAACGAAAACAAAAATAAAACAAACAAGTGAAGAAAACAAATGTCGGAATTGGAAGACGTAGCACTCTCTAGTAGCACTTGATTCATCTAAAGACTGCTTATTATGAAGAACGGAGGCTGTAGCTACTGTGCCTTCTCTGTGATACACATTGTGTTCTTGCTGGTCTGTAATAAGCTCTATACTTAAGGTGACCTTGAAGTAGAAATGCTGCATTGTAATAGACTTTTCCTTTGTAGCATTCAGTATGTTCTTATGAGGAAAGTGGCAGAGGCAGGGTATGCAAATGTGCGAGTGTGTGTATGTGTGTGTGTGTGTGTGTTCCTAAATAAACACAGCCTGCTCAGTCCATATAGTGTTATTTCTGGCCAGTTGGTGTGCTCTTCCTTGAAAAATACTATTTCTCTTATTCAGCATTCTTAGGTTTTTGGCTACTGATTTGTATTACTTTTTTTTTAAACCTCAAAAAATATAAACAAACTAGATCTACACTCTCCTTAGAGCGGGTGTCCTCTAGCTGTCGTGTGTGACGCCGTTTTAACCTACCAAGGTAATCCCAAAAGTTCGATTGCACATGTCACCCTAGATCTCATGATTCAGAGATTCAACTTTTATCCCTGGGCTTTATGACAATATTGCCCTTAAATGAGGTTACCTACTGGCCTTACTGGTTAGGCAGGAGTCCCACATTTTTCTACTATGCACTCTAGTTAGCACTAAGGCTATGCGTTAATCATCGAATGTGCATGCACTTGTGTGTGTATTGTGTGTGTGCGCGCGCATGTACGTGCACACATATGTAGGCCTGCTCATGTGTATAAGCCCCCCTGACCCCCCGCAGGATTTAGTCAGTTCAATACTGTCATTGACTTACATCTCGGATCTCTGGTCCCGCTCCTTTGTAAGCCTGCAGGTCCGTGAGGATGCTCTCGGAGTCCTGGAGAACAGCACTGATCTGGTTCCATATCTCTCGTTCTCCTTCAGTAGGCTGGGCATCTAAGTGACAGAGAAACCACGAGAAACTGAGACTAGTATTTCTGAACAACTCTCAAAGTCCATAAACAGTCAGGTCTACCAGCTAAGCAGTCCCTTCTCTTCCTCCAGCTTTGGAAGTCACTCTGTAACTTTAGAAGCTGTTAGGTAAGGAAAATGAACATGGCTTTTGCTCATGACTCAACTCAAAGCATTCAACAACCCTTTTTTGTATATATTAAACCTAGTATGAGCAAATCGTCCTAAATGTTCATTTGTTAATTTATATAAAATGCATTTTTGTATACTTATGTTCACATTGGGTAATAGGAGGGGTTAACATGGTTTTGGGGAAGCCAAACTTCTTTTTAATGTCCCTTTCATTGTGTTTATTCTCTCTTAAAGCTATCACTTTCATTGTGGTCAAAATACATAACATAAAATGTACCACCTTAGCCATTTTCAAGTGCTGAGAGCATTGATACTGATAAAGTTATGGATCTTCCTTCCATGCAGTTTCACAGCTCTCTTGATCTTGTAAAGCCAAAATATTACATAGAATATGCTTCTGAACAGGAAAAACGATGGGCTATTTCCATCACTGAAAAACTTGTAGACTTGAGTATAGATGAAAAAAGCCCCTTTAATGCATATTTCTTTTATATACTTTTACTATTTCATATATATTTATATTATTTTATATGAATTAGTACATATGTATATGATAATCAACTTTAAAGCTCACTCAATTTGAGACTGGTGTGATGACTCAGCAGGTAAAGACACTTGCTGCCAAGCCTTATCTGAGTTTGATGCATGGGACCCACCTAGTGGAAGATGAGAACCAACTTCTGAAAATTGTCCTCTGACCTCCACATGTGTGCCATGGCACACCCTCTCCCAAATAAATGAATATAACAATAATAATAATAATAATAATAATAATAACAATAATGTAATTAATCCTTGAGGGCATGGCAGCAGCACATCATTCTAAAACCGTGAAATACAGAAAGCACTGAAACATTCTAATACACATAAACATTCTGTCTAAGAGCCAAGAAATGGGTAGAGTCTTGTGGGAATTCATCAGCGCATAGAAACACTCTTAGAAAAGAAAATCCATAAAAGCGAAAGGGGGCACATCTAGAAGAAGAAGGAAGTCAATGGGGGTAGGATGTGCGCACAAAAATTTCTCAGGAAAGACATGCCAGGAGATCATTGTCTAAAGGTCTGTTCTGTTTATCTTCAGTCTTGACTGTGGTACCCACAGAAGCATGTGATGTGTTTAGGCCACATACATGAAGGCAGCATTCTGATAGCCACAGGTGCCATCTCAGGCAGTTCTTTCTCTCTGACATCCCTGGAGACCTTGCAGGTTCTTACCCTTAGAAGCATTTCATGGTGACAGATAGTTGAGAAACATGGGCTATCTCTGCTCTCATAAGTGCTAAGAATCAGGCTAGTTTCTTCCTGTAAAATGATGCTGCTGCTCAGGGAGAGAAGAATAGACAACCTACCACGTGACTTTGTTTCTAGGTATTTAAATCCCGAGATAAGGGATGCCATCAGTGACTTAACTAAAAGAGCGACAAGGACAGAGTTGTATGAAGTCTGACACTCCCCTGACCCAACCCCAATTTTATTTATTCTTTTCACAGGACAAAAGGCAGATGCTGCAAAAGTGTGATGTGTTTTCTTCACTAGTGGGAATCTGGGGTGTCAGAGAAGGATTCACAAGACAGGTAACGGGAGTGTGGGCTGGGTTCATTAGCAGCCTGGGCAACCAGGGTGAGTTGATGGCCAAAGGAGGCCAGAGAAGTTCTTGTCAAACTCAGGAATGACGCCCCGGTGAGTTTGGGAATACTTTATTCACCAGGTCCTGTCAAAAAACAAAGGAATTGGTAGCTTCCAAGGAAATTTAAAAAAAATGAAAGAAAGAAAAGAAAACAAAACTCAAAAATGTTTGGAAGAACAAGGGGGTTAACGGGGGTGGGAGAGGAATAAGAACGGGTAATGTAGGTGAATATGCTCACAATATACTGTGTATATGTGTGATGCTGACAAATTAAGAAGAGAAGCAACACATAAAAATAAGACAGAAAATTATTGACCCTCAATGGGGTTCCCAGACACTGGGAAAACATGTTTCCTAGAAATGATACATTGTCAACTGGGGATTAAGTGGGTCTAAGGTGCCTGCAGGTCAGGGTTAGGCAAGGAATGTGGTTAGGAAGGTGTTGGAGTTGTCAGGACTTGAGCATGGTAGCAGAGGTGGGAGAGAGAGAAAGAGGTATATCCACAGAGAGAAAGAATAGATGGCCTAGGGTCAGGTGACTAGATGGCACACAGCTGGGCCAGCAGGGGACCGAGATGTCGGGAGAGAGATCAGAGAGGCTGACCCGGAAATGAAGGGGAAAGAACAGCTGATTCCTCCTCTATCCCTGAATCCTTTGCTTCCCACAAACATTGCGTAGATAGTATCAGGTCTGAGCTTTTTCACAATATGAATCACTTCATATGTTATCCCTTTCTGTTTCCTCAAAGCAATATGGATGCCATAAAAGGAAGCCTGCACATCCATGAGCTAGGAAGTCTGTCGCAGCGGAGAGCACTTCAGTGAAAATCCAAGGGAGGAGCCAGGAGTTTTTGAATTGCTATAGTGGCAAGGAGGAAAACACAAGAAGAACAAAACAAAGCAAAGCAAAAAGCCTACAAAGCAAATAAAAATGAGGCACCCACGAGCTGGAGAGCTGGCTCAGGGGTTAAGAGTACTGGCTGCTCTTCCAGAGGACCTGGGTTCAGTTCCCAGCACCCACAGAGTGGCTAATTATCAGCTGTAACTCTAGTTCCAAGGGATCTGATGCCCTCCTCTGGTTCCTTAGGCACAAGGTACATACACAGCATACAGACAAACATGTAGTTAAAACACCCATACACATGAAATTAAAACAACATAAGAAACTAAAGAAAAAAAAAGCACTCACTCAAATCCAGGAACACACTGTTTCTAAGGTAGAAAATTTTCAGATGAAGCATTTAGAGAAAAGACAAGCAAAATAGAGTGTGCCCAATCTGAGGGTTCAGAGTTCTACAACTGTTTGTGGAAGAGGGTTGTCCCGGGAGGCGAAGAGTTGTGTCGCATCTCCCCCTGCCACATGGTCTCATCTCAACAAGTCACTAAGGAACAGTGTCACATGAAAGAGAATTAAAACTGAGTGGCACAGAGCACAGACAAAGTCTAAAAAGCATCCTGTTGTTGGCCACAGACCACAAAAGGAGAAAGCTTTCACGCCACTTCATAGAAAGAGAGGAATTTCCTAAGTGCTTTCAAAAATAAACATCCTACAGAGCGGCCTCAAAGTGGTCCTCCAGCTCCAACAACCAGATCCTGTCTCCATGGCAGGTGAAGTGGCACTTTCCTCCATAAACTGGCAGGGACATTCTTTTGGCCACAAAGAGTTTGCATGAAACAGCTTAGGGGGTGGCATTTTTTCCATGCCACCGGAGATGGACTTGGGGTGCAGGGCGAGCATTTTCTACTTGACAGAGCTGTTCTCCTAGCAGCTAGAGGTTATAAACAGGAGCCTCAGTGCCCAGCCTCCTTCTCTGGGAAACTTTCCTTTGGCAGATGTTCTGCCCGTTAGGGATGCTTGTAGCACAGTCCTGTTAGGGGCTGCAGAAACCTAATCTGACACTTCCTCTCCCATCAAGACTTAGAGGTGTGTTGGCTCATTTTCTGCCAGAATTTGCTACTCCCAAGGGACAGTTGATTTTCTCCCATCTTTCCTGTCATGGAATTGAAGTCAATTTCTCTTCCAGCCAACAGTTAGGTCCCTCATGCCAGCAAACAGGCAACCATGCCTTCTGGGCCGGAAGGTGGAATATTCCACAAGGGACTCAAACCACTGTCGGGTTGCCCAGCTTTCCCAGTGCAGGGACAGCTGAGAGACTCTGATCTTAGGACTGTTCAAAGGTTTGCCAATGTGACATGCTGTTGTCACCTGCAAAGGTACTGAGTCACACTCGTAGTTATCCCAGAATGTATATGGATCAGGCTGTATACTGGATGTGCCTTTCCTAGTGTCTGTCTCATTATGCAAGTGGTAAAAGGGCTGTGTAGCCCCAAGTGACATTTACCATTGTCCCAAATCCATATGGAATCCAAAGATTCATTCCACTTACATCCCACAGTACTAAAAATTCAGAACTAATTAATAATTTTATCCACTAGACATAGGGCTCTGACCATATTTGTTTCATCTGATTACATATTTTCAGTGCCTGGTTAGTATATAGCATGTGCTCATGGAAAACGTGTCAGACATAGTTGAAGTAATGATTTATATATAGTTTTCACATTTTAGATTTTTTTCTTTTGAGACAGGGTCTCGTGTTTCAGGCTTGAACTCACTATATAATCTGTTGATTGTTTTGATCGGATGTGGGTTCTAGGAGGCAGTGGGATCAACAACGCTTCCATCTCTGTCTTGTTGTGTGTCTGCCACTAAGGCATCCATATTCTTCGGTGACCAAACTGACTCTTGCCTCATCAACATGTGTGCTTAAATCTCCCACTGCCCAGGGTCTTATTATGGCTAGCAAGCTACTGGGATATTTGCTCTGTCTGGGAGACTAAAACGCTGGCAAAGCTCTATCTTTTCCATCCCCGTCACTGCCCTTGCCTTGCTTTCTGGGACAAACTCTGTGAAAGGATTTGGATTCTCTTCCAGCACTCCCCATATTCAGACCCAACTGCTGACCAGATTTAAAAAGTTTACTGAGTTTTCAGATGTCGAGAAATGACATCTTAAAAGGGACCCTGAAGAATTAGTGCTGGAAAAGGTTACTGTGTTTAATTCCCCAGTAACCTTGAGAGCGTTGGCTAAGTGACCAGCAACTCTGAACTGTGGTCTTTGCTTTTCTATTTTTAACAGGAAGCTTGACTTTTTTATGAAGTGGTATATCACACACACACACACACACATGCACACACATTTGTCACACTGGTGTACACATACACA